TGTACAGATGTTGTTGCACTATCCCTAGGGCAGAAGTTGCGAGACCATGAGAATGATCAGTCTATACAAACTGCCGCAAGTACCATGACGAGCTCCGACCAAGGCCTTAGAAGCCGAGACCGCGTCAGCTCGGCGACTTCAGAAAGCTCGACCGCCGCATGTTCTACATCAAAGGCAGAGCCTAACCTTGTTCTCAATCGAGACTTTACACGCGTCGAGCTCATGTCTCCATACCAGTCCCTGATCTGGTTTGCAGGAAATTACATGAAAGACCCGACGCAATACAATGTCGTGATATCCTACAAGGTTGAGGGCTCCTTTCAACTTGAAAGATTCAAAAGAGCGTTAGAGGAAACTGTTTCAAGGCATGAATCCCTACGCACGTCATTCTTTATGGACCATGTAAGTGGCGAACTCGTGCAAGGGACTCTAGGAAGAGCGTGGCCCTTCTTTCACCATGTGAAGACCTCGGATCTGGAAATCATTTCCGAAGAATTCAAGAAGGCGGCGCTTCACAACTGGTCGTTGGAGGAAGGAGAGACCTTCCGAGCCACCGTGGTGTCAGTCGAACCCGGACGCCACACTGTGATATTCAGCTATCATCACATTATCATGGATGGGGTCAGCTGGTCCACCTTTCTCAGAGAAGTCAAAGCCTTTTACGAGATGAGGCCGCCTACCTTCAATGCCACACAGTACATCGACTACTCCGTAATGCAGAATCAGGCTATTCAGAGCGGTGCATTCTCGAAGGACATAGAGTACTGGAAGCGACGACTCTCACCTTTGCCGGATGTGATGCCTCTACTTGGGCTTGCCAAGGTGAAATACAGAACAGCCACGGACAACTACAAGGCGCATACGACTACGCGTACAATCGGGCGAGAGCTTGCAGAAAGTGTTCGCAACTCGAGTCAAAGGCTTCGGGGCACGGCGTTTCATTTCTTTCTGGCGACACTCCAAATTCTCTTTGCAAAGTTGCTGAATATTGAGAACATGTGCATCGGCATGAGCGATGCGAATCGAAAACATGAGCAGTACCTCAACACGATTGGTTACTTCGTCAATCTGTTGCCTCTGCAGTCTCGGATTGTGCAGGGCGATAGCTTTGCTAGTGTGTTCCAGCGAACGTCACGCGATGTTCTCTCGGCGCTGTCGCACTCGTCAATGCCCTCGAATCTCGTCGTTGACCACCTCGACATTCCGCGAACCTCAACGCACACGCCACTTTTTCAGGTGGCCATCAACTATAGAGTAGGGGAGATCACTGAGATGTCTGTGGAGGAGTTCAAATTGACCTACGAACGTAGCGTCATGGGGAACGCACCGTATGACATGTCCTTTCACATCACTCCTACGGCGCTCGGCACCTGCATCTTAGATGTCACCTGTCGAGATTACCTCTACAGTCCCGAGGCCGCAGGGCTGGTTCTGGACATGTATATCAACTTGCTAGCTGAATTTGCATCCAACTCTTCCCTGTCAGTACAGCAGTGCGCCTTGTTCTCGAGCAATAGTGATGAAACCCATTTGTCCGTCCGCCGGGGCACGCGGATCCGTCATCGATGGCCGGAGACGTTGTCGGCACGGTTCCGCACAATTCTACAAAGCTGCGCCGACAGGACCGCTGTCATTGAGGAAAAAGGAAGATACACATACTCTTGCTTGGGCGCTCGAATGTGCTCCATAGCGAATGCTCTCATTGAAGGAAGAATCACCCCGGGAACCAAGGTCGCGGTTCTCTGCCAGCCATCCCTGGATTCGGTAGCGAGCCTGCTAGCGATTCTTCTCACCGGCGCTGTCTATGTGCCTCTCGATCTCAGTAGCCCGATGTCGAGACATAGTGCCATTATAGACGCCTCGGGCGCAAATGTGATACTCTGCTCGGCTACGACGCTTGAGTCAGCCTCCACTCTTGGTGTGGCGACTATCATCAATGTGTCCGCGGTGCCGGAGCACTCAGATCCGACGATAGATATCAACCGTGATGGTACGTCTCCATCGGTCCTACTATATACCAGCGGCTCCACAGGCAAACCGAAAGGGGTCTTGCTCTCGCAAGTTGGCTTCATCAATTACCTCGCCGCAAAGGCCGAGGAGCTGCACTTGGACCATAATGTCACCATCTTGCAGCAGAGCTCTGTGGGATTTGACATGGGGCTTGCTCAGATACTCAACGCAATCATGAATGGAGGGAAGCTTGTCATCGTCCCCCAGGCGGCGCGAGGAGACCCTATCGAGGTTGCCAAGTTGATCCGGCGGGAGAAGGTGACATTCACGCTTGCCACGCCGTCCGAGTACATGGTTATTCTCCAGCACGGATGCAAGTATCTAGAAGACTACACCTCTTGGCGCCACGCCTGTCTCGGTGGCGAACCATTTACGGACCAACTGAAGCGAGAGTTTGTGCAACTGGGCCATAGATGCCCTGTTGTTCAGGATTCCTACGGCGTAACAGAAATCTCTGCTTGCACGACTTTCGAGACCATGAACGTGTCTCAGCTCGAGGAAGCGCGCAGCGTCGGGAAGCCCATCCCCAACACTTCCATATATATACTGGACGATAACGATAATCTAGTGGGAATTGGTGTGCCTGGCGAGATATGCATTGGTGGAGCTGGAATAGCCCTTGGGTACTTGGACGAAGAACAGACGCGGCTGAAATTCGTCGAGGACCGGTTTGCGAGCGAAAAGGATATTGCTCGGGGTTGGACTCGGATGTACCGTACTGGCGACAAAGGCCGCATGCTCGAAGATGGCTCACTTATCCTTCTGGGTCGTATGGACGGAAACACGGAGATCAAACTCCGTGGTCTTCGGATTGACCTGGACGACGTGGGAGCCACATTGGTGAATTGCTCTTCGGGCATGATCTCGGCGGCTGTTGTTTGCGTCAAGGGCGATGGTGATTCCAAATACCTCGTGGCATATGTTGCGGTTGCCCCCGGCCGCACGAGTACCGACTCCGACCTTCAGCGTCTTGCGATTAGTCTTCCCCTGCCACAGTACATGTGTCCTGCGCTAGTGGTTTGCCTGGACAATTTACCACGGACCGCCAATGGCAAGGTCGACCGAAAGGCAATCGAGGCTTTGCCGGCTTTGAGCGCAAAGGCACCATCGCAGGAGAACAGGCGTTTGACCTTGGGTGAGGGCGAGCTCAAGCTCCTTTGGAGGGGAATCTTACCCAACAAGCCTCAGATCCAGCCCGAGTCGGACTTTTTCATGCTCGGGGGGAATTCTCTACTCCTGATCAAGCTCCAAGGTGCGATTCGCACTTCCATCGGGGTGCATATCACACTTCGCGAGCTGTACGCTGCAAGTACTCTATCCAGCATGGCGCTTAAGGTTGCCTCACGGAAGGCTGAAACTCCAATGGCAACGATCAACTGGTACGAGGAGACAGCTGTCCCGGAAGCGATACTCCAAGAGACAAGCTCGCGCTCGGAGCCGCGCCGCTCCAGAGAATCAGCAGGCATTGAGATCATTCTGACAGGGGCGACTGGGTTTCTTGGGAGGACAATCCTACGAGCCCTGCTTCAGAAGTCCGAAGTCAACAAGATCCACTGCCTTGCTGTGGAGAAGGGACAGGATGACGTGCTCCCGTCAAGTAGTAGTGTCGGGGTCTACTATGGCAGCCTCCTCGATCCCACCCTGGGACTGTCCACCGCCGAGTCGGACACCCTGCAATCGTGTGTCGATGTGATCATCCACGCGGGGGCGCGTGGACACTGTCTCAACACTTATAGCTCCCTCCGAACGCCTAACGTGAAGTCCACGCACTTCCTCGCGGCATTTGCGCGTCGAGCCCGAATCCCCCTGCACTACGTCTCCTCCCCGCGTGTCACCCTTCAATCAGGCCAGACATCTCTGGGCCCTATCTCCGTCGCGTCCCACCCGCCGCTCGCCAGCGGCTCTGAGGGATTTACGGCTACGAAATGGGCGAGCGAGGCGTTCCTGGAGCACCTCGCCGACCGAACCGGACTGTCCGTCTACATCCACCGGCCATGCACCCCGATCGGTGACAACGCACCAGACCAGGACGCACTCAATTCCTTGCTTCATTTCTCGGACCGCCTCAGCGCCACTCCCCGACTCACCAACATGAGCGGGTTTCTCGACTTCCAGAAAGTCGAGATCATCGCCGAGAGAATTGCCTCCGAGGTGACGTCATCGGTATCGGACAGCACAACGCCTTCTTCATCCTCGTCGTCATCGTCTGTTCATTTCCGCCACCACTCGGGGAATGTCAGAGTCCCTGTCAAGAGCTTCAAGGAGTACATGGAGAAAATCCACGGTCGCCCGTTCGCGGAGCTGGGGCTGCCAGAATGGTCGGCGAAGGCGATGGAGTTGGGGATGGAGCCGTTGATCCCGGCCTTCTTGGAGGCGGTGGCGGAGAGCTCAGAGACGATGTATTTCCCTTTCCTTGGGGAGGAATGTGAGGGGTAGCTGTCAAGGCAAAACGATTTTACTTTGCTGGATGTTGATATGAGGGGGATTGGATGCCGCGGGAGACTGTACCGTACTTGGTTGGTTGGTGGTGGTGGTGGTATGGATCGTGATTGTAAGGTGATGGGAGGAACTCTGTGATCTTGCAATAAAAAGCTCTTGCTGTAAGCTGTGTATGTGCTGTAAGTTCCTGTACGGAGTACACCGGGGGTGTGCAAGTAAGAAGAAGTCTGTACGTGGCCTACGAGAACGTTGGATTTGTGCTTATTGCTGAGTACCTAGTGGCATTAGTGTTGTGCTGAAGGTGATGACGCCTCCGAGAGGTGTGACTAAGTTATGTTTACGTCAGGCTAAGTGCGAGAACTACTAGCTAAGGCCACCGAGGTGGGCGGGGAGCGAGCAGCCTCAGGCAAGGCCCCAGGCCGCTGTCAGAAGGCATAAACTATCTAGTATGCACAAATTTTCGGGTGAGAGTACGGAGTATGTACTGGACATTTACACTGTACCGTCCTGTGATTTGCCATCCATATATGCGACCATATATGGTTTCACCTCTTCGCTCAATTCAGAATTCTCTCTCGTCCGTGATCCGTCCTTCGTCTCATCGTACCCTTCTTCGAACTATCCGTTTTTTTGCGATTCAATTCAATTCAATTCAATTCATATTCGGTAACCTAAGGAGCCCCGCTTGAAATGGGCAGTCGACAAGTCTTGTTGAATTTTTTCTTGTTTACGGGCGGATTCATCAATACTTTCGCGAAAGGTGCCACCAAAATCACGGCGTGGGTAATGGACGGAAATCTCCATTGTATTTGCATCGCGTTTTGAAGATTTGGTAGCCAAAGCATACCCATACTGCGCAGTAGACTCATCGATATAGTCAAGTGCCTGCTTTTTAGTAAAGCAATGGTAGTCAATAAGGGGAGAAGGAATGAGAGAATTGGGCAGCATAGCAGATTCAGTTTCAAGATCAGTTTCAAGATCAGCGTCGAGATCAGCATCGGGATCAGTGTCGGGAATTAAAAGACTTTCGTTGTTAATGTCTTCCAGATCGTCATCATCAATATCAAAGAGATCTGCATGGTCACCATCATCGAAAAGAACGATAAAGAGTGGTGGCATCTTGACGGCGCGGTATGAATTAAACGTGGTGGAGTATAGACGCGGGTGCCCGCCCGGCGTGTCTGAGTACGTGCTGGAAGTGTAAACAGTGAACCTACTGTAGCAATGATATTTCCCCATTCGGAAGGCGGTGACAGAAAATGGTGTGTGGGTAGCGGTTCCCTATGTAAAATACTGTAGTGTTTTGATGGGGTGCGGCAGCCTGCAGTGCGCGGATGGCGGCAGAGCGGCCTTGACAGATGGAGCTCTTTCTATAGAGTACTCCGTATATGTCCGATTATTCGATTTGATAATGTGAACTCTGCGGTGGCGTCTGGCATACTCCAAATACGTCTACTGTCTTGTATAAGCCGCAGGCCGGTTATATAGTCGGCCGAAGTCTCGCTGGTCTTCTCCGCTCTATTGTATAACTTACTCCAGATGCAATAACAGCTGAAGCTATCGCGATCGCGGTGACACTGCCAAAGCGTCTTTCTGAAAACCTTTCCGGTGTGGTTTCGCAGAACAGTTTATCGTTGCCAGATTGTCATCAATTTGTCTCACCTGTAGCCCGGTTTGCCTCCCCCCCCTGGCCCGTTTCCGTGACGGCCTCCCTGCGTGCAGGGGTCCAAACTAGGTTTCGCCTATAGTGTCGCCCGTCGAACTTCTTTGCTGCGCTCCTGGCCCTCGACCATGATTAACTCGAAGCCATGCAACAGCCCAACCCACATCGAAAATTCGACGCAATCCAACCAGTCGCCAGAGCCGGAAAGCGGACCATTGACGAAAAGAATTCTCTGAATTGACACTGAGTACAGAACCTCTCGGCAATGGGAGTCGCACTGGAATCGAGCAGAGAGCAGAGGATGCTGGCTTGGCGTTCGGTTAGAAATAGCCCTGGGATCAACCAAACGAAGTTGACTCGGGACCAGGACTGTGCTGCTGCTCCAAGGGGTCCAGAAGGACGAACTTGGAACGCATGAATCTATTATACAAAGATCAACCGCTTCACCAAGCGGCATCATTGGTCTAGTGGTAGAATTCATCGTTGCCATCGATGAGGCCCGTGTTCGATTCACGGATGATGCATTCAGTCGAACTTTTTACCCCGCCCCCACTTCAAGCTTGTGTAGTTTACGGCCGCAGCGCGGTCTTCTTTTGTCTCTGTCGGTATTATTCGGGCTGCTTCACCACTCCAAACAATAATGACCCACGTATCCTGTAACTGACAGTCTGCTCGCTGCGAGGAAAAAGCCCCCCCGTGGTAGTCTAGCGCTCACCCTCCTTTTTGGCTTTCGTGTTTACGGCTCCCCCGCTATAGTTACTATCCATACACAATTTTATATACCCATCGCCTGATCTGCACTGGATCAATTGAGTCCCGTACACGGAGCTTTCTCATGGGAAGCTCTGTTCCGTGTTTGTCGATGGTCCCCATACCGACTCGTAGGCCTTTTTGCGTTCTGTGGGTGGCGGTGTGCTGCGCGCCTGTCTTGACCGTACCTAGTACCTATTTCCTGTTGGGCCTACTGTAGTCTAACCAAGTTCCCGAGTCTCAACTTCCAGGCTGCTCAGGGGCTTTATGCGCAGCCAATAGGCTGCGCAGTGGTGGCCCCATTTTGCGGATCGTCTTCAAATTCAGCTCCAATCACTTCTCTTCTAATCGCTCCCCACTCTCCGCACATTACCAGAGCCACCGTAGTGGGTAATCCGGGCTTCGCGTTGCCCGTCCAGCACTCTGCGTTCGCCTATATTCCCAAGCTTATAAAAACCCGAACTTTCCAATCCTCGTCTGGTTAAAGTCTCCAGTTGATTCCTTTTTTTAAATACATTTATCAACTGTTGTTATTATTATTATCTCGGATCTTTTCTTCTTCCATTATGGGAAACCACTGGACCCCAGAACGCCAAATGCGATTATTTTTGGCAATCTTAACAAAAATCCCCCCTCATCAACTTGTTTGGAACAATTATGAGGATAATATCAAGTCTCTATTTGATGAGATCTTAGACAATCAGAATCAGCTCTGGATCAATGCTTCTCAGAACCAGCCCCCTCTTATTGAGAAGTATACAACTCCAATAATCTTAGAAGCACTACGCTATATTACTATGAATCCTCAGATACCCTGCTATTCCTCAGGCATCGAAGGCAAGAGCTGGTGGAACAGTTTAAGTCAGGATCTAAAAACCAAAACCAAAAATGACTTTAACTACTCTGGTTATTACTGCTGGTATGCTTTAACAGCTTTTTTTTATTTTATCTAATACTAATTATCGGACTTACAGGACTTATTACTGGACAACAACCGGTGCTTGCAAGGGTCAGCACAGATTTCTTTCTGTTTTTCAACCTGACAAAGTTGTTATACAGCATATCCACAAACAATCAATCAATATTGCATCGTCCGATAGCAACAGCAGCAGCAGCAGAAAGATTAATCAGTCAGCTCAGCCTAGGTGCTATTCTAAAAGATCCAAGGATCTGAATGGTATTACTGCTATAAACCGTGTGAACTTCCAAAGCAATCAGAATCCGCCTCAACCAGACAAGGAGGATTGGTTTATTACCAAAATCCAAAAGACCAACCGAGATCAACGCACAATTCTCAAAAATACGGCAACTGCGATATCCAACCAGCTAGTTGAGCATACTACTTCCGACAGCAATTTTATAACCATCTCTGAATCCGATAGCGATCCCGAAACTACTTCCGATTCCGACAGCAGTTCTGTGACCAGATCATCCTTTAAGACAACTTCTGCAGCTGAGATTGATTCCAATTCGATATCCGGCCACTCTGATAGCCGAGTTGGATCTGTGGCTTCTTTAGAAAACAATTCTACTAGCATCTATACTACAACCGTCTCTAATTCTAACAACAAGTCTGCAACTACATCGATCAGCAATATTCGAGATACTTCTATCAATCTTACAGACAATACTAACAGGCGCCTTGACGGCCTGTCATGTGACCAGCCATGGGTGCCTAAGGCACCTATGGCCCTATATATATATATAGTCCAGAGTGAAGGCCCTGCGGGCCTTTTTCTTTTCTTTTTTTTCTAAGAATAAAATTCTTATTTAGTTAATTTATCTTCTTTTTATAGTCTTATACTAATTCTATTCTTTTTTTATTAATTTTTTATTCTTTTTATTTTTTTTAATCTTTTTTTACTATTAAGAATCTGTTTTTCTTCTAATTTAGATTCTAACTACTACTGTTGTTGATTACAGCTGCTGAAAAACTTATTATTAATAAGCTTTTTATTATTTTATTTAAATAGTTTTTACTTTTTATTCCTGTTCTTTAATTTTATTAATTATTTTATTAATTTAATTAATTTTATTGATTTTTTAATATAATTTAAAGATATTAGATCTTTAGTTTTAGAAAATATAAAATATTTTTATCTTCCGGCTGATATTTTTTTATTATAAAGTAAAAAAATTACTAAAAAACTAAACTATATTTAGTAATAAATTTAAATAAATAAAGATTCTAGTTTTTTTATACTATTATAAAAGAATATACCGCCACTTCTACTACTAAGCTATAAAAATAAAAAGCCTAAGTAGCCCGGTTTTTTTTTCTAATATTAATAAGATACTTAAGTTTTTATAGTAATCTAGGACTAGTGAAATTAATATATTTAACAGGGCCTTGGACATCTTTAATTATCCTCGTCTAAAAAAGCTTATCCGTCTTTATTAGAAGAAACAAAACAACCTACATGAATTTCTTACTACCAACAGTGGTTCGTCCCATCTGTCCTCTGTGAGGCTACGAAAAGAAGATAAATCAACCAGACAAGAATTCTATTCTTGGGAAAAAAAAAGAAGAAAAAGGCCTGTAGGATTTTTACTTTGGACTATATATATATATAGAGCTATAAATATTTAAGATATTTATAATTAATTATATAATAGATTATTAAAATATTTATTATTTTTTTTCTATAAACAGACTGATTTATGCGGTATATTAATATTAGATTAGCTAGTTAGTTAAACTATAATAATTAAAAAAATAAAAATAAAAAAATTAATAATTAATATTATAATTAAAATAGATTTTTAGCCGGTTAATATAATTTAAAAAATCTATTCTAAAAATAGAAAGAATTTCTGACTAGATAATATATTTTTTAGTTGTTAGTTTTATAAACAACTAGTTAACTATAGTTTTTTATTAATTAATATAAAAAAGTAAATTAGTCGGAAAACTAGACCGGTTAATACAGCTAACTAGTTATATAATTAAAAAAAACAGATAGTAGACTGCTGCAAAGATTACTCCGGGTCTTTAAGACTTATATAAATATATGGCTGTTAGTACTAACAGTAATTTATACAACTAGTAAATTATTTAATTAAATAAATTAGTAGAGGATTTTAGCTGATTAGTAAAACAGAGCGGCAAACTGGCGGAGAATCTTAATTAATTAATAAAATAAAGTAGTAAACTAGTAGAAGATTCTAGCTAATAAACAGAGTAGAATAATAAACTAATAGAAGATTTTAGCCGGTAGATAAAATAAAATAATAAATTAGCAGAAAATTTTAGCTGGTTAATAAATTATAAATAAATATATTTAAATCATTTTCAGCTATTTCTAAGTTAGCTAATTATAAACTAATAAAAATAATTAATTAAATAAAAAAATCTAAGAATATAGCTTATTTAAATATTAATTATAATATATAATAATTTTTAATAATATATTCTTAAAATTATATTATATTTATTATAATAGATTAATATTCTAATTATTTTAAAATTCTTTAAATAAAGTCTTATATTATAAATTATAATAAATATAATAGTAGTTTATAATCTTTTAAATAATCTACTTCTTTTATATCTTATTATTTATATTTAGAATTATAATAAGATTCTTGGGGTCCTTAGTCTGTCTAAAATATAAATTTAATAAAATAAATACTAATTTTTAGAAATAGAATATTAAATAAAATCTTAAAATCTTTATATATTTAGATAAGACCAGCTTATAAATTTTATA